AAAAAGAAAAAAGCCGGGGAGATAGCTCAGTAGAATAAGCGCTTGCCTAGCAAGTGCAAAGGCCTGAGTTCAATCCCCGGTTACACAAAAAAAAAAAAAAAAAGCAGATCCAGGGTGCTGCCAAAGGCCCAAATCCCACCCACGGCAGCTGCTTCAGGGCACACTCAGGCCATCAGAGGTCTGAGCTGGGGATGTAGAGGCTACAGAGATTGATGCACCTGAAGCCTGAGATGAAAAAGGGCAGCAGGCAGTGAGAGGCAGTGGTGGAGTCACCTGGATGCCCCAATCTAGTCTGGATGCAACAAGCTAGATGAAGTGTAGGTGCAGGATGGAAGAGGTACCTTCTGACAGCAAGTCTCCAAGGACTAGTAACACTCCCACGATCTTTGGGAAGGAACCCTAAAAGGGCTCATTGTCACTGGGGAAGAGGGCTCTATAAAACTCCTTTGTCTACCAGGCATGGGATGGCGCACACCTGTAATCCCAGCACTGAGGAAGGAGGATCACTGTGAATTTGAGGCCAGACTGGATCCCATAGTGATTTCAAGGCCAGCCTGAACTATATAGTGAGACCTAGTTTCCAAAGGAAAAAAAAAAAAAAAAGGAGCCAGGCAAATAGCTCAGTGGATTAAAGCACCTGCAAATAGGTGCAGGGCCTGGGGGTTCAAACCCCGGGCCTGCCATGCTGGCCCCACCCCAAGGGCACACTGAGATGGCAATTGAGACTTGGCATGGTGGCACACGCCTGTAATCCCAGCACTTGGGAGGCTGTAAACAGGCAGATCACTACAAGTCCGATCTAATAGTGAGACCCTGTAGACCTTTCAAAAAAAACTGCCCCAAGACTGGGGTGTAGCCAACCTTGGCCAGCATGAAGGCCTTATAGCGAGCAGTGAAGTGCTTATAGGAATCCGGTCGGGTAGGGGTCTGGGCCTTTATTTTTCTGGTGCTCCAGGTACCTAGCAGAGAAAAGAAAAGCCACAAGACTCAGAACTGCTTTCTACCCTCCAGAGATCCTGCCCCACATAAAGTCCTTTCCTGCTTACTGGGCCGGCCTTGGGGCTTCCAGGAGCCACGGGCAGCTCCCCAGGCCATATCTCCAGCTCCACTGGGTTCCTTCTCCACAGACACAGGTGGGTCTGGGAACTTGTGGACCCCTGTGGGACTGTGGCTTTCCTCACAGCATCCTTGCTCTTCTGATGAGAATGTGTCTGGAGCAGGGGAGTGGCAAGAAAAGGAAGAGAGGGGGCTGGTGAGATGGCTCAGTGGTCTAAAGCACCTACTTACAACAAGCTAAGCAAAAGCACAGCGACCACGGTTCAATCCCCGGCACCACGTCAGCCAGCCCCGCCCCCTGGTGGGCTGAGCTGGCCACACACACACACACACACACACACTCTCTCTCTCTCTCTCTCTCTCTCTCTCTCTCTCTCTCTCTCTAAATAAATAAATAAATAAATAAATAAATATTAAAAAAAAAAAGAAGAGATCATGCTGCCTGTCCCCTGCATCCCACACCCAGAAGCAGTGTACATAGGTATACACTCAGACCCTTCCAGAACCCCTCAAGACTCTTCCCCTCACCATCACTGCCCTCAGGGGGCCTGATGGAAATACCTAGCTGGGTGGTGGACACCTTCTGCTGGGGGAGCCCCCTGGACCCAGACACGACATTCTCCAGCTGTCCTGTGGAGATAGAAGGAGCTATGTGGAGCCCAGGGTGGAGAATCTTTCAGGGATGCCAGCCTCTACAGTGGTCAAGGGTATTTGAGACATGGGGAAAGAAGTGGCGCCCCCACTACCTAGCATCACCACTGGACCTGCTGTGTCTCCACACCTTCCCCTTCCAGCCATACCCAGGCTACTCACCGGCCTCACGGGCTGAGGAGACCCTGGGAACGCTTCTGTTACTAAAGGCAACGAGAAGGGTATCAGGGGTGCTGGCAAGAGACCCAGGTGGACACAGTCAAGGACAGATACTTGCCTCTCAGGGGTAGCCAGGACATCCCAGAGGAAGATGGCATCCCCCACACTGAGGACCTGCTGCTGGTCAGGGGTGAAAGCCACAGCCTGCACGGGCTCTGAGTGACCGATGTACACCTAGGGGCAGTGGCTGTTACACACAGGGAATTGCTGTGTGCTCATAGGACTCTAATGGGATGAGGACTAAAAAGCCTCACGTGGCATTAGCATTTGGTAGACACAATGCTGTGGTCTAACGCTCTGCTCTCTGTCCCACAAGCATTGTTGTGCCCACAGTCCCATGAGCAGCAAGGATCAATCACCAGAGCTGCCTCCCAGCCCACAAGACACACCTGGCAGCTGGGGTCAGACTGCGTTGAGTATTCCCAGACTTCAATGGCCTGGCCAGAGGCCGCCAGCAAGAAAGAAGCATCCTCGTTGAGAGCAAGGGAGGCACAAGCCACAGGGCGGGCACTGGACAGCTAAAACAAAGCGTTCTTGGCAAATGCCCTGTAGGAGGCACTAGGGCAGCCTGCAGGTCTCCCCTCCTCAGAGAGTAGCCACAGCCCCCTCAGAGGGAGGAGCAGCAGGAACAGAGGGAAGGAAGGCCTTGTGAGTAGCCCACGGTCCCAGGACTCACCTCCCGGATAGTGCGTCCTGATACCACATCCAATACCATAACTTTGTTAGATGATGTGGACACAAGAAGGTGGCCCAGGGATGTGGGGCCAAAGCAGATGGCCACAGCTGAGTCCAGGCTGTCCAGAGTACTGATGTTAACCCGCAGCAGCTTGGAGGAAAAATGACCTCTGGCTACAAGCTCTAGACAGGGCTGGTACCAGCAAGAGCCAGGGAAGGAGGCACCTGGGCAGATGAGTACCACCTTCACTGCGTAGGAGAGTGCCTCCAAACGAGGAGAGCAAGGCCATTTCTAGTGCCCTCACTTGGCTAATGAGCTCTCTGCAGCCACAAATGAGGTTGTCATGGGGCCTGAGCCCACTACTGAGTTACCACACAGCTGCCTACCCACTTCCTGGACCTCCTCACGTTCCACACCCAGCCAAGGAAAGAACTTCTGGACCCAGGCTACCCCATGGACTTACCTCATCTAGAGAGGTTGAGTCCAAGACTGTAACTGTGTACTTGGAGGGACCCACAAAGGCCAGTAGGCGGCTATCTCTGCTGACTGCTAGGGTATTGGGATGCGGTTGAGTATCCTGGCACACAATGTTGGCTGTGGTAGCATAGGGCACCAGGTCAGCAAGCCCTACCCTGCCCCCACGTGAGAAACATCAACAGGGGAGGGCACTTTTCCACAGAGGCCACAGGGTTTGGGCATGAGACCCAAGATACAGGCAGATATAAGGCACTACAGAAAGTTAAAAGTTCTTAAGGAGGCCAGGGGAATGACCAAATGACCACTTGGCAGGCCCATAGCATAGTGGCCACAGGAAGAGGTAGATGCCCCCTGGCTATGCCTAACCCCCACATGGTGCTCAGGCTGCCCACCTCTTCCTAGGGCAAGGCAGACAGATCCTCGCTGTGCCGGTGAACCCTAAAATAAAACCTTGTCTAATAGTCTGGATATAAGGCTAGGGAGACAGCCCTCCAAGGGATCTGAGTGTCTGGGCACTGGCTAGCTAGCACCTTGGGACCAGCCTGAGTGGCTTAAGGAGTCTGACCTGCTACACGAAGGATGTGGCACTCAGAGTTGGTGCAGCTATACTGAGCCAGGGAGCCCTGGGAGCAGGAGCTGAACAGGAAGTTACCATCAGGGGTAACTAGCAGGCCAGTGATGGCTCCTTGGTGACACCTGCAAGCACACAAAGATATCCACTGATCTTGTCCCACTAAGCCACACATGCAGGGCTATAGGCAGCACTGGCTTAGTGGTATGTATTTCCTACCCAGGGATCCCACAAACCACCCACTTCCACCACAGGCCTCTGCATTGGGCACACACGTGTGTTCCACTAAGACTCCTGAATTCTCCAGACTGAAGGCACGTATGGTTCCACTCCTAAAGCCACAGAAGACAGCTGGCCATGTGGGGTGGAAGGTGATGGCACAGGGGGCCTCATCACAGGATGTAATGTCATGTAGCTAGAAAACCAGGGCAGAGGGCAGAAGCTGTAGTGGGTCTGGGAGGTCCAAGGGCCCCATGAGTGCCCAGCTCTTCTCTTCCCTGCCTGCCCTCTGCCACCTCTCACCTGGTGCAAGGTGGCCAGGTCCCAGATGCGGACAGTGTGATCCAGGGATACAGTGGCCAGGTGCCTTCGGCTCTGCTCCAGGGACAACGCTAGCACCGGGGCCATATGGGAGTGTGCCAGCACAGTGTACTTTTGGGATGGGATGTCCAGGAAGCCTAGGTGGCTTGATGAGGTGGTAGACAGCACACGAAGACCATCGGGACTAATGCACACTGAGCTGACGAGGCCTTCATGTTCTGGGGAAAAGCAGTATCAGCAACCTCCAGGGCCCACTAGAGCTGACCACAGACTCTACATTCTGGGGCAATGGGCCCTGTGAGGCACAGGCAACAAAACCCCTTCCTGCCAAGGCTATACCAGGCTACCTACAGGCTAGAAAATGCAGCTCCCTTAAGAGGGCCAGTCCTAAACCTAACCCAGGCCCTTGTAAATGCCTTGCCCACCAGTTGCCAGCTTGTGCCCTCCTGTAATGCTAGCCTTCAGTGGTCCCAATGAAGACAGCCAGAGGACATGCAGCACAGGCCTTCCCATGGCTCTCACCTATCACTGTGAAAGGGTACATGCTCACAGCCTCACCTGCCTCTAGGAGCACTGAGGAGAAGTCCAGTGGCCAGAGTCGCAGGTAGCCATCCTCAGAACCCACAGCACATGTAGTCTGAGAGACACTGAGGCTGCTGATGGCGATGTCAGGGCCTAGGAAGTTTGGAGATCAGTGTCTCAGGGTGAAGCCAACTATCCCTAGAACAGGAGTGCCCCCTACCTGCACTGAAGGATTGTTTTCTGGGGTGGCATCCACTTGGGACCCCTGTAGGCAGCAAGTGGTGGACACACTGCACTGCCATGCGCTGGGTGTCAACCTCCAGGATGTGGCCACTGCGGCTGCTCACATAGCTGCATGGAGGGGGAGGGCGGTTGGGAGTGTGTGAAAGGTAAGGCAAGATTCTGGGGGCATTAGGTAGACTGGGCAACAGGCAGTAGGAAAGGGCAGAGGCTCACAGAGTGTGGATTGAGGGCACCTGACAACCATCCAGGGCCTGTGCAAAAGCGAGGTCACTGAACTCCAGTCCACAGTGCTTCCCCAGATCCACGGGGCAGGAACGCAGAGTCCCACCACGCATTCGCCACAGCCGTATGCTGCCTCGCCCACATGATGCCATTCTGTAGGAGGTGCAAAGAGTGAATACAATGGGAAGCAGCAGGGCTAGAGGCCCAGACCTTGTTCAGTACCATAGATCAGCCCCATCACCTGGTCTCATCCAAAAGGGAAACCCGCAAGGTCTGGACATCAAAGTCAGCATGCACCTTCGCAAGAGCTACCACTTCACCACCACGGTTCACCTGGTCAGTGCCCCATGCCACAACCACCTGCAACAAATCCAGGTTGAGCTCTGGCCACAGATGCTGGCCTCTAGGCTGTCCTCGCATCCTGCCCTGATTCAGTGAGGCCCAGGTGAACCCCACTAGGCAGTGGCTTTTCCCTCATGCAGAATTCAGCCTCTGAGCAGTTGGGTTGCTGAAGGTGGGAGATCAGGCCCTGCAGCACACTGGCCCTGAGATCTAGATAATTCTGGCATTCCTTCAGAGAAGAGCCTGGCTGAGCACTGCACCCTCATATGAAGTAACAAAAAGTAAAACCTGACCCACAAGTAGAAGTGGATAATAAAGCCAAGAGGCATCGGCAACATGAAATGCTGGGACACTTCAGCATTTGGGAGGAGCCACTGATTGTCATACCAGGTTGTCTTCAGAGATGCAACTTACAAGAACACCTAGCACTCGCACATGTGCATCTCTACAGTAGCCACCTTCGCGATGTTCCCCCTATTGTGCCACCTGCCCCGCGCCCTGGGCACTGCGGTCGCAGGCCTCCGCATCGCTGCATTAACCCTGCCGCTCACGCAGCTGCTGCAGCAGGCGCCCCGGCCAAGCTCTTCAGGCTGCTGTCGGTGAGCGCAGGGTTGCTGCGCTGACCCGGCCTCCTGCAGCCCACTGGGCCATGCACCTGCGGCTGTGGCCTCAGAGCGCTGCACACCCAAGGAGACAAAGCTTTTGTTGAATTTCTTTTTCTTTTTTTTTTTTTTTTTGCGGAACCGGGGATTGAACTCAGGCCCTTGTGCTTGCCAGAGAAGCGCTTATTCCACTGAGCCATCTCCCCGGCCCCTAAATTTCTTACTGATGAAATTAAAGAGGAAAAAAAAATTCAGAAGCATAAGTCCCTTACTGAGATGTCTAGAGGCTGGGAGCTGAAAGTGGATGGGACAGAAGCTAAATTAGTGCGGAAAGTTGCTGGGGAAAAGATCACTGTCATTTGAACACTGACAACAGCATCCCGCCAACTTCAGATATTGAGGAGCAATCCTCAGAGGGGCAAAAGAGCGAAGAACAAGAGCCTGAACTGACATCAACTCCCAATTTTGTGGTAGAAGTTACCAAAAGTGATGGCAAGAAGGCTCTTGTACTGGACTGTCACTATTCAGAGGAGGAGATTGGAGAAGAGGTGGCTGAAAGTGACATTTTCTCTATCAAGGAAGTTAGCATTCAGGCCACAGGCGAATCTGGATGGAAGGATTAACACAGATTCCCTTAACACAGATTCCCTGGAATGGGCCTTGTATGACCACCTAAAGGATTTCCTGGCCGACCGAGGGGTGGACAACACCTTCGCAGATGAGCTGGTGCTCAGCACAGCCATGGAACATCAAGAGTGCATTACTTTTCTTGAAGACCTCAAAAGCTTTATCAAGAGCCACTAGTCAGAGACACTGAAGACCTTCATTTTCTGTGGCCAGAGAATAAAACCTCCCCTGACACCAGACGCCTACACCTAGCAACGGTCATCATCCTAACAGCGTGGGAAATACACAGCAAATTTATTTTATTTATTTATTTATTTTGGCAGAACTGGGGATTGAACTCAGGCCCTTGCGCTTGCTAGGGAAGCGCTTATTCCACTGAGCCATCTCCCCGGCCCCTACACAGCAAATTTAAATTACTGCTGTTGCACTCAAGGATTTTCTTTCTAGTGTTTTTGGGTTTGTTTGTTGTTTTTTCTTTTGAATAACATAATAATGGACATTATAATTTGCTTTATCTCCTCCAAAAAAAGAACACCTATCTTAACTGGGTGTGGTGGCACCTGTCTGTAGTTTCAGTACTCTGGGAAGTTGTGACAAAAGGATCACAAGATCAAGTTCAACACAGACAGCTTAGCGACTTGGTGAGACTGTCTCAAAGTTTAAAAAAAAAAAAAGACTAGGGATGTAGCTCACTGCAAAGGTGCTGGATTTGGCTCTCCAATAATATACACAGCCACATACACACAGCTCACCTCAAGGTACCACACATGACAAGAGAGGGAAGGTGAGTTGTTTACTAAAAGTGACTCTAGGGCCAGCCAGATAGCTCAGTGTACTAAAGCTGCTTAGGCAAATGTAGGAACCCGGTGCCCGCCATGCAGGCCCTGCCCCCAGGGCATGCTGAGCTGGTGAATGAGACTGGGGGTGGTAGCACGTGCCTGTAATCCCAGTGCTTGGGAGGCTGAAAATAAGAGGATCACTACAAGTCCAATCTGTGTAGTGAGATCCTGGACTAAATGCCTAAAAAAAAATTAAAAATAAATAAATAAAAGTGACTCTGATTGTGCCATGGATAAAAACTGAACCTTTTCCTGTGGCATCTTTTCAGGGAGCAGGCACAGGTTCCCCAGATTACCAAAGCCCAGGGCACACAGGAATCCCTGCTAGAAAGAAGGCAGAGAAGGGGACCCATTGTTTCCCATCACTGGACTTTTTTTCTTTTCTTTTTTTTTGAGACAGGGTCTCACTATGCAGTTCAGGCTGGCCTTGCATTTACTTATGTAGCCCAGGTTGGCCTTGAACTCACAATAATCGGCCTGCTTCTGCCTCCAGAGTGCTGAGATTATAGGCATGCACCACCATGCTGGGCACTGAACTTTTTTTGTAGGTACCGAGACTCGAGCTCAAGACCTCACACTTGCCAGGTGGGTGCTGTGTCACTGAGTTATATTCCTGGTCCACTGGACTATTTTTTTGAGATGGAGGTCTAGCTATATTGACCAGGCTGGCCTTGAGTTCCTAGGCTCCAGGGATCCTCCTGCCTCAGCCTCCTAAGTGTTGCAACTACTGGCATACCACTCACTGTGTTTGGCTTTTTTATTTATTTGCAGACCAATTTTTATTTTATTATTTTATTTTATTGTTATGTTATTTTTATTATTATTGTTTTATTTTTGTGGCTGGCTCAGTTTACCCGGGGGGTGGGGCTGGCACAGCATGTGGTGCTGGGGATCGAACCACGGTCCCTGTGCTTTGCTTTAGCTTGCCTAAGCAGGCACTTTTAGACCACTGAGCTATCTCGCTGGCCCTCGGCTTTTTTTTTTAAACAAAGAAAGTATGTAATTTTAATAACATGAAATAATTTTAATAAGCAGAAATAAACCAAGACAGATTTTAGAAAACAAAGACTCTGGCCATAGTTGCCTGCCCCTCTCCAGAACAAGATCATTACCGTCCTCCCCTGGTGGTCCTTGCCAACACCACAGAGAAGAGCCCCACTGCTGGAGAAGCTGTAGACAGGACAAAAAGGTCAGTAGTGCCTGCCCTCTCCCACCCTGGCCAGCCCCAGGTGAAGCCCCGTGCCTACCTAAGGGAGCAGACAGCATACATCGGGCTCTGAAAGAGGGACAAGCACTGCCCTGTCGGGAAGTCCCAAAGCCTTACCACACTGGGGGGCTGCACTTGGGCTGAGGCCAACAGAAAGCTGTTCCTGTCCAGAGCCAAGGCAGACACCTGCGGAGGCACAATGTGCAAAAGGCTGTGTGATCTACAGGTACCCCCCAACCCAGGCCCCGATGGCACTCACCTTGTCTGTGTGGCCAAGGAAGAAACGCTGCTCCCCAGTGGAGACATGCAACACCACAATGACTGCATGGCAAGGGTAAACCACAGCTGCCCCGTCCTTAGTCCACAGGGCCTGGCACACAAGGGTTGGGTCCAAGGTCATTAGCCCAAGAAGGTTTCATTTCCTACTGAGCTGGGGGTGGGAGTGAAAGCCCAGCACACATGTGCACATATCTTTCCTGTTACAGGTATGAGTTGATGAGACACAGCCCCACAGGGATAGTCGACACACACGCGTATCTGCCAGACCCTGCCTTCTATCCCAGCACCTTGGTCTGGTTAGGAGACCAAAGGGCCCCCTAAAGATTCAGAGCCTCTGTCCAGTAAGGCCCAGTGAAGGCCTACAGTTGTTGAGGGGCAGGCAGAAAATGCTACCTCCTGTAATGAGGATTTTTCCTTAGAAGACCCACTTCACTCATCAGGAACCCCCACATCATGTCCATGCCCCACAAAGCTGGACTGGATCAAAGGGGACCACCCTTGTGGTACCTCTAAAGAAGTGATCCAGAGCTCTTAGGTCGTTGGAACACTCAAGTCAAGCTAGTACCTATCAGACTATGCCAAAGGAACAGGGGACACCTGTTATTCCCCCCAACCCTGTGGGCCCAGGAAAGTAGCAGATGTGTGCAGGGCAGGGGCCTTAGGACCAGAGGGAAGCCATCAGAGTCTGCACAGTGTAAAGGGATCTTGACACCAAGGTGGCTGGAAATCTGTCTCTCTTCAAGTACTCAACGCTAGTACTACCCAATGAGAACCATCCTGCAAACAGCCACAGGACCCTCACCCATTTGGTGCTGTGGCCCCCAAAGCCAATGATCCCCTTGAGCCTCAGGACTGGGTCCGGGAGGAAGTGCTAGAAGAGACAAATACACAATGAGATCCTAGAAGAGCACAGCCCTCAGAGGCTGCCTCTACCCACCTTAGGGCTAAGTTCTACCTAGAGGTGGAGCTGTAGCTAGTGGTAAGTGCTTTCCTGGGTGGGGTCATTCTTATCAGAGGTTCTCCTATGAGAAGCTGAGTTCCCAACTAGAAGGCCAGAACCTCTAGGAACCCCATGTCCTGCTCCCAAAAGACCACATCAGGCTAGTGTATTCCTTAGAGTTTGGGAAACAAGCCCTTCTTTACTCTGTCAGGAGGGGTTCTTACCCAAAGCTGCCTCCTGTAAGCTCTGATTTCTGACAAGAGGTTGGGTAAGAAAGAGATAATTAGGGGTCTGTCTGAAGCCTTTCTGCTGTAGAATTGGGACTCACCTTATGGGAGCCAGCATCCTCAAGGGCCACAGGCGTACTAGTGGGCTTATGGGTGAGCATGTGGCTGCCACTGACCATAGTGTGTGCATCAGAGTCCTCCACCCAGGCCGAGGAATCTCGCCCACAAACACTTAGTCCATCTAGGTGGGACATCTCTGAATGTATGCAGGATAGGTTGACCTCCGGAAGGACCCTGGGTGCAGAGTGGGCTGGGCAAGACTGCAGGGAAACAAATGTCCATCAGCACCCTGCTGTTGCCATTTCCCAGCCCTATAAAGGGACACTCACAGTTGTGTGGCTGGCCATCTGTATCACAGGAAGCATCCTATACTGCATGGGCTTGCTGAGGGCCACTAAGGGAGAGGGAAGCTGTGGCACAGGTTCCAAAAAGGCTGTAATAAAGCAAAGACCCCCCCCCCACTGACTGGCTGAGCACAATAGAGACACACATGAGGGTGCTGCAGGGATGGGAAAAGCAGATATCCCTGTCTTGCTGCCTGCAAAAGCCGTACCACAGCAACTGCTCGTCAAGCCACCCAGCCTTGTCCCTCTCATAAACCTCTCATGTGGTTCTGGGAGCACAAATAACCAACCAACTATCCAGGTGCCTCAGACACATGCCAGATGCAGGCTCCACAAATGCCAGGTCCCCTTCCAGCCCTCCCCACTCCCATAAAGCTCCTTGCGCCCTGAAGGCTCCATAGGCCTACCTGCAGCAGGAACCAGCTCAGAAGGTGCCTGTGGGCTGTCGCTTGGAAACCTCAATGGGCAGAAGGAGAGTTGGCATCTGGGGGCCAAGGGGCTACCTGCCCTCCTGCCACCCTAGGGACTCCCTTGGGAGGAGCAGAGTCACTCACTGGATGTGAATATAATGGTCATGCCAGCTCTCCCCCTTTGGCACTGGGAAGGCCATTTCTCGAGGAACAGGAGTGATGGGCAACTTTGTTCGCTGGGCCTCAGTGACAGTGACAGCTATGAAAAGCAGGGTTGCTCTATGTCAGTTTAGCTACCTCTCTACCCAACCTCTGCCTCCAGAGCTAGGGGCTCCATCCTCCAGTCGATTAAGTCAGAACTTAGACAGAACCCAAACAAAGAGAATGTGAGGTAATAAGAGGGGGTGAACATGCAGACTGTAATAGGACAAGGCCCTCACCTGGGTCAAAGCTCAGGTCACTGGTGTAGAGATTCTTAACCAGCAAGTTGGCACACAGCCTGATACTCTTGAGGTGGCCATAATACCGGCTCAGGTAAACCAACAGGATATCATGTAAGTCAAGCTGCAAGACGGTCCAGCGGGCACATGGGGGGGCTGTCCCTACCAGGTATGAAGGACAGGCCTCTAGGTCAGTGTCCACCTCCTTGCAGCCCCACTTCCACAGCTGCCACATTGAGTCCCGCTCCCACCTGCCCATTGGGCCACAGAAGCCCAACTGGGCCTGTACCATCCCACTCTGGGTAACAGCTGGCCTTCCTCAACCATGCAAGGCCCATCTCAGTGTCACCTCTCTTGAGTGTCCTAGTCTCAAAGACAAAGGGGAATTGAAGCCACGTGGCTGAGGACTTGAACTCCTTGAAGAGACTGGAGAAAGACAGTCGGATGACTTGGCTGTCCTGCAGGGGCAGACCCAGGCTGTGAGGAGGGGATGGCAAGCATGTGGATACCATGTACAGCCCGATCCCAAGCACTGCACCTGAGTGGCCACATCCAGGTGGATGACAAAATGCTTGGTGGGCAGCGGCCGGAAGAGTACATATAGGTACCGCCCGGTTAGCCCCAGGGACTGAGTGCTGGTTCTGGGAAGCTGGAGGTAGTTACTGGCAGAGACAGAGCCCCGGATACGATATACGGAGCTCTTCAGGGTCTTGTCCTGGAGAAAGAACAGAGTACAGGCCACAGTGGACCAGAAAGCACCCAGCAGCAGGTCGCCATCTGGAAGATTCCCCAGGAGGAAGTACCCAGTACCATCACCACAGCCACGTCGCCCTCCTTGCTGGACCGCTTCCACTCGTCCACTCTGAAGTATCGGAAGACGTTGAGGAACGGGTGCTGCCATGCTGCGGGAGCGGCACTGCAGCTGAAGCCTGTCCCTGGGCACTGGCAAGGCACCAAAACCCACTCCCTTTGCCAGCGTGACCGCGGCCAGGTCACACGGGCCTCTGAGGGACAGCGTACCAAACAGGTGAACCCTACCGGGACTCTGACCTATGACCCGGTAAGGGACCTTACACACCACAGCCGCTGCCCTAGGGAGCCTAAAGACCTCCCAATATCCCTGACCTCGGCCAGCCCACCGCGCGCTCCTACCTCCTGCCATGGCTCCTCAGCTCGCGCTTCCCGCCTCTGGTGCAGCCAGCCCTACGCTGGGCGCAAAGCGCGTCGCTTAGCAACGAACGCCAGGCAACAGTGCATCACTTCCGCTGTCATGGTTGCGCCCGTAGCCCACGTGACTGCGGGGCGTCTCTGGATTGTCCCTCCGCAAACGCTTTGTAGAGCCATACCCAAATTCTAGATTTGGTTCTGATTTGCTCAGTTGTGAAACAGTTGGGAGGTCTCTGACCCTCTCGAGAGTCATCTGTGTGCGGCTGCTCTTGTTAGGTAAGAGAGGACTGAGAGGGCTGAAGTCTTGTCTACAACCACCCTAACCCAGACTGAACTTCACCCTTTGGGGGCGCTGGGTCACCCCTGCTCCTCCTGCCAAGTAGTGTCAGTCTTCCACAGAGGCCTACTGAGGTCAGTCTCCCTAGCAACCAAAGCTCCCACGCTTGTACCTGCAGGCTTACCACATACCCTAAAACCTGGGGTAAGACCGTCTCTATCCAGTATCTAGTACCCAGGCCTGCTGGCCTGAAGGAAGGAGCTAATGCTGCGGGCAGCAGCACAGCATCTGCCTGGCAATCAGAAGGCTCTAAGTTTGGCTCCTGGTACCAGGAAAAAAAAAAATATATATATATATATATATATATATATATATATTTATTTATTTATTGGCAGAACAGGGTATTGAACTTAGGCCCTTGCGCTTGCCAGGGAAGCACTTATTCTGAGCCATCTCCCCGGCCTGTTTTTTTGTTTGTTTGGGTTTTTGTTTTTGTTTGTTTGTTTGTTTTTGGTCTTTTTGAGATAGGGGTCTCACTATGCATCACTATGCAGTTCAGACTGGCCTTGAGCTCAAAGCTCAATTTGTAGTCCAGCAGCTCTGGCGGCGGGAGGAACGGCAGCGGTCGAGCTGCGTAGCTCCGCGAGACTCCCATGCGCCGCAAAGATGCCCAAGAGGAAGGTCAGCTCTGCAGAAGGGGCAGCGAAAGAGCCCAAGAGGAGATCGGCGAGATTGTCGGCTAAACCTGTTCCAGCTAATGTGGAAACGAAGCCAAAAAAGGCAAGGGGAAAGGATAAATCTTCGGACAAAAAAGTGCAAGCAAAGGGGAAAAGGGGAGCCAACGGAAAACAGGCTGAAGTGGCTAATCAAGAAACCACGGAAGATTTACCTGCGGAAAACGGAGAAACTAAAAATGCGGAGAGTGCAGCTTCTGATGAAGCAGAAGAAAAAGAAGCCAATGGGGCTGGTGAGATGGCTCAGTGGTCTAAAGCACCTACTTAGAACAAGCTTAGCAAAGCACAGGGCCCTGTGGTTCAATCCCCCAGCACCACATGCCAGCCAGCCTCGCCCCCTGGTGGGCTGAGCTGGCCACACACGCACACAGACACACACATAAGTAAATAAATAAAAATTTTTAAAAAAGCTAAGTCTGATTAATCACACACCGAGTCTTATCAGTGCTCCCTGTCTCCCTTCTTGTACAATCCAGAGTATTTTTATCTGTTGTATAAATGCAAGTTTTTTAGCAGCTCTAGAAACATTTTTTAAAAGGAGGGACTCCCACCTAACCACATTTTTTAAGTGTAAATGATTTTTTTTTAGGGTGAAATCATTCTCTGGTTATTTTTTGGTACAACCAGAAATAGTGGGGTATTGAATTATGGCAGGCTTTGACTGTCTTGGGAGTCAGCTTAACATTCCATAGGTGGGGGTTAGTTTTATATCCTACAATACAAAGCATACTAAAAGACAATTTGGAATTACAGTCCTGCATTTAATATGTCTTGGATACTTTAAATGACTTCTATTCTCATGATTTTTGGTAGAGTTGTTTCCTAAAGAAAACTATATCCTGGTTGTTGCCCTGTCAGAACCGTGTGCACCCTGTAACATCTTTGGTAGTAGTAGTCCAGTTTGCCTCATTTTGTTAATGTGCTGTGAAACATCAAAAACTTGAATATGTAGTGTATGTGATACAAAATTGTGAATTGGTGGGACTTAAGTAACACTTTGTCAGCATTTGAAGATACTGGTACTTAATCCTTGTACAGAAAATTTACCTCTAAATTTGAAGCTGGAAAGTCACTGGAACAACTGAAAAATACATGACTTTTTTTGGTATGTGTGTTAAGAATTGTGTACAAAGTGAATCATGTGTATTGATCCTCAACACAACCAATAAAATCTCAAATATTTTTCTTTATTTGTGTGTGTGGCCAGCTCAGCGGGGGGGGGGGGGGGGGTGGCCGGCATGTGGTGCTGGGGGATTGAACCGACCGTGGTCCCTGTGCTTCGCTAAGCTTGTTCTAAGTAGGTGCCATAGACCACTGAGCCATCTCACCAGCCCCTAAAATCTCAAATATTGAAGATAAACAAAAAATTGTAGCCCAGGCAGGTCTTGAACTTGCAACGATCCTCCTGCCTCAGCCCCCTGAGTGCTGGGTCTACAGGTTTGCACCACTATGCCCAGCAGAACTCGCATTTTTTTAATCTGTGGTACCAGGGATTGAATTTGGTACCTTGCACTTGTCAGACAGGCACCTGTGCCACTCAACTATATTCCCAGCCCCTGCTGAGCTATATATCCCCAGCCTGGCATTATTTTATTATTTGCGGTACCAAGGATCCAACTCGTGACCTTGCACTTGCCAGGCAGGTGTTTATGCCGCTGAGCTATCTTCCTGGCTCTGGAACTGGCATTTTAATACCAGCTCCCTGTCCTGGGGGACAGAATACCTGTCCAGAGCCAGTTCATTAACATCTCTAGGCCTGAAGGCCTCGCTTTGGCACACTGATGCCAACAGGAAAGGGGGAGTCACCCATCTCACACCTCCCTCAGGTAAACAGCTGAGTAAGCCAAAGGACAGAGGTAGGCAGAGCTGTAGTCCTTGCTGGCACACAATACCAGAGGGGATGCAGCTACAAGGCAGGTTGAGGGCGACCTGGAGTTTAGGGCTAGGAATTGAAAAGGATTTTTTTTGGGGGGGAGGTGCTGGCTCATGCTGCCTTAAGGGTGAGTCTGGTAAGGTATGAGGAGCTGGGGAACCGTGGTATCCTGCCCGACTGTGTTTGCATAAGCAGGCGCTTAAGCAACCGAGCTAACCAGCAGGGCCCCTAGGGCTAGGGACTGAATAAGAGCCCACATAAATTTGTATACCATCCAAAGCAAGGGCACTCCAAGAGGGCAGTTTCTCAACTTTATTAGCCTGGAGCTCTTCCCTGCCAGCCCCAGGGGCTGGTCCCTGGGTACAGGATTGAGGTCAGACAGGTTTGGCCCCTGGCCCATGGCAGCTTGAAACAGCTGACCCAAAGGGAACAACAGGTGCAAAAGTCCAAATGCTGGCACTTCAGGTATGGCTGGCACCCAGCCAGGCCACATGGTGGATAGGGAACCATAGTCCTCTTCTGGCAAATGGTCCTCCATGGCAGCATTCATTCTTAGGCAGCCACTATGAACAGTTGGTAATTCTAGCCAGGAACTGCTGTGCCCACCACTCGTCCAGGTCGATGGGCACAAAATCTGAGGGCAAAAAGCAAAAGGCTGGGCAGTGATACCACCTTTCAGACTAGTTGGAGTCTCAAGCTGACCATAAGCCCCTCACCCACACTCCAAGCATAGCACGCACTGGGAAGAAGGTGGTTGGCTCATAAAGTCTCCTCCCCAACTCCCTAGGGCTGAAACCTGGCAAGGTCCACCCAGTTCAGAGGCAGTGGAAAGATAAGAATGTGGGAGAAGTCTCTGGAGTTAAAGGATCTAGGGGAAGTTCCTGAGAGAATTGGGGATGGGGGCTCACTCTGCAGCCGGGGATCGGGGGTCCTCTCCACATATTGCACAGGCTTTGGCCCACTCTCACCGGCTGGGCCACCATCCAACTGTTGCTCCACCTGCTGCCAGGCTGTAGGGGAACAGTGGTCAAGCTAAGCAAGGCCCTTGGCACCCTTCCCACCCGAGGGCCTAGTGGCCACCCTGGACTCCAACCCAACACTGGGAGTAAACAGCCTGCTTGTTGGCTATAGGACAAATGGACAGAGCTGGGGAGGCAGGATGCAGTGGAAAGAGGACTTGGAGCCACCCCAGTCCACCTAGCAGCCTGCACCACACCATCTGGCCCCTCACTACCTTCGGACACAAAGCGGACGTTCTCTTCGTGGGCCAGTGTGTAGGTCTCCTGGGTCCCCTCGAGGGATGGGGATGTGGCAAGGGGCCGCCGGCCATTCACTCGATTGAACACAAGCCTTGGCCCTTGACTGTGGAAGGGGGAGGAGACAGACATGGTGGATACCTGTACAGGCCTAGGTGCCACCAGGCTTGTTGCTTGGAAGTGCTACCCATTGCTTCAGACCAGGCCCAGCTTGGGCACCTCTTTCTTAATCATAAGAGTATCTACACAAGCCACAGCCAAAGGCTCTCCCTCCTGCAGACCCAAGTCCTAAGCAGCTCAGCTCAAACCTGCAGCCTACTCCAGAGGAAAGTAAGACTGTAAGGCAGGGCTCCAGCTGTGTGCCAGACCTCTGGTAAGGCTAGACTCAGTGTCCTTCCCCACTACCCCTCACCCTCCAGAACCACAATTATGACCTCAGCCACGACTAGACCTCTGCCCTAACTCCACCTACTAGACCAGTTTTCCCATCTTCTATAGATGCTTCTCTACAGAGTTGGTACCCCCAGCATGAGAGAATGGACAGAACAATGGGATGGCCTTTATTGCCCTTCCCTCTCCCCAGCTAGCCCAGGCCCCAGGGGCATGAGCACTGAGAGGCAGTGGTAATTCTTGGGTGGGGACAGCATGGCCATAACCCTGACCCTACTCCCCATAGGCCCAAGACAAGAAGCAATAGAGTGAAATACCCCTCCCCCATGGCACTGCACTAGATATCCAGAGGAGCCAATGGATCTGTCCCAGCCAGAAAGGCACAGAACAGGGATGGTCTGCCCAGGATTGGCAGCAGTTGGCCAAATCCTGCACTCAAGAAGCCCAGGGTGGGGCTGTGGAAGGAATGGGGCCGAACCTACAGCAGGAGGTGGGAGCCGGAGTCCTGGGCTGCGCCTGCCACTCCGCCAGGCACTCGCGGTCCCGGCCGGCCTGCTTGCTTTCCTGGGCTCAGGTACCCCAACGCCGCTCTGGGTTCCTCCTCAGATGAGAGGGGCACTAAAATAAAGAGGAGGGTCTTGAGGGGCGCAGGGTCCTGCCAGCCCCAGCACTGGCAGGGTCTATTGGCCACAGAGAATCTTAAGATGTGCCAGGGGAAACCAGGAAGGGGGTGCAGGCTACTCCCCAACCTGCTCACTCCCTGAGTTTCCCCATAAGCCCTAGGACATAATGATTTGTCTTCAATTTAGGAATCTCCTAGTGCCTGCAACCACCCCACAATAAAAAAAACTTCAAACTCCAGGAAAGCTTGAAGAGTAGCTTTTTGTTTAAAAAACAAGAGAGAATTGCCAGACTCAGGGGCTCACATCTGAAATCCTACTTATTAAGGAGGCTGAGGCAAGAGGATCACTGTGAACTGAAGACTGGCACGGGCTACAAAATTCAAGGCCAGCCTATCTCACTCACTACATAGTGAGACCTTGGTTCAACCAAATAAAACTAAGCAAATTATAGCCAGTGGCTGTGAACTGCACGAAATCAAGGCGCGGCCCTGATGCTGGGATCCCCCTCCCCCCACAGGGCACACACAAAGCCTGCCCCACCCCTGCAGTTATGTAAGGCCAGAGGAAGGCTCTGTAGGGAAAAGGGCAGCAGCCCCACGTGCACCTGTGGAGTCCAGCCAACTGTGTATGTTCTGGGGAGGCTGCCCACAGGCCAGCTGCCACCTGTGGAGCCAGCACAGACCTTTCATTTAACCTAACACCCTCACAGGAGATAAGATGCCCGTTTTTCAGCCTAGAAACCCAGACTGGGAAGAAGTGACCCACCTGTGTCACACAATGACAAAAGCAGCAGCTGAATTCAGTAGTAGTTCTGACCCTAAATCCATAGCCCTGACTCAGCACCAGCCCCCTTGCCAGCCTCCTGAATGGGATCCTTGTCTGCCTCACTCTGTCCCTTTTTGCTCTGCAAGCCTCATCCCATTGCGCCCCCTCTGGTGGTCCCTGCACACTCCCATCTGCCCCTAAGGACAGAGGACCACAGGGTTCCATTCTATCTCTTCAGTCTATCCCTTATTAGAAGAATCTGTAAGAGGTGCAGACCTAGCTGGCCTATTCACCAATGCAGGCAGACCTCAGACCTATGACCAGTCAGAGCAGGTGGTATATCTAACTGATCAGAAATTTAGGGACTAGCCAGGTGTGGCAGCACATGCCTGTTAATCCCAGCACTGAGTGGCTGAGGCAGGAGGACTGTTGGAGTTTGAGACCAGCCTGGACTACAAAGTGAGTTCAAGGCCAGCCTGAACTGCACAGTGAGACCCTGTCTCAAAAAGAAAAAAAAAAAGAATTAGGGGCTGTATTATGCACTAGCAGGAAGACAAGTGATGATCCCCACACTTCATTCTCCCATAGCTGGTCAGAAAGAGGCATGGTAAGTGGGGAAAGATGCTATGCAAAAGAAAAGGAATGGTAGCAGGAAGTGACCTCAGAGGGCTGGGGGGGGGGTGAGGCATGAGACCCAGCTGCCATACAACCTGCCCTAGCCACAGCTCAATCCAGCATGAGTGTGCCCAGCCTAGTGAGCTGATGGGGGGATCTCAGGCATCTGCACCAGGGTTGGCCTGTTCAGGCCTTTGAGAAGTCTAAGGAGAATAGCCAGTGGGCTGGGAGCATCCCTTGAAGCTCTGGCCCACTTAGGGTTCTGGAGAGTCATTTTCCCCTCACTGACTCTACCTCCAACTTTGCTGCAGACCTGCTTTTGCATTCCCAGCAGTGGGAACTTAGAGAGGAAAAGTGCTTCCCCAGGTAAGAGGTGGGTAATTTATCCAGACATCCCAGCCTGGAGCCCCCTGCCTAAATGACCACATGGCTCAGAGCTTCCTTCTTGCGAAGTCAGGGGAACATTGTGGGCATAGGCCAGTAGTGGTGAACCTATGGCACGTGTGCTGCACTGAGCTGTATCATTAAAAGCTCTAAAAGGTTTGCCGTCACTGGTAGGCTAATGTTAGCTAAGTCTACTAAGAGCCTCCTCACTCCCCAGTACACTTCTCACTCCTCACTTCTCAGAACACTTCCTAAAATTGAACTCAGCTGTCAATGTGCCCCAAGATTCCCCTACTGTGCACCTGTTTCCAGTCCCCCTCTTAAGGTGTCTCAAATGGGCAGGGGCAGGTAGAGGGGCACTGCCAGAAAACCTTGAAAGCTAGCACCCAGCCATGACTGCCCTGAACTCCAGGGATCCACTGTGGGGGTTGTCTGGCTTCTACTGGGAAAGTTCCATCCCCAGCTGTGTTCTCCTTTCTGGTGTGTCCCACATGCCTCACCTGAGCCGCGTTCACACACCACCAACCCATCACCCCCACCATCTGGGGCCTGGGCCAGGAGCCCTCACGGCAGCAAGGGGCAGGGGCAAAGTTCAGTGCCAGGGAAACCATATTGAGTCAAAGAAGTAAAGGTTCCACAGGGGGAAGTGGTGACCCCCAGGTCATAGTCCTTACAGACCAAAGTGGCCAGGATTTGAGTCTCCCTGGGATGCGGGGTATATGGCTGGCAAGACTGACAAGGGAGAGCAAAAGGCTGCTGGCAGGAGGGGCTACCCGGGGGCCTCTGGGGTGAAGGGCAGGAGGGACTGGGCCTACCAGAGCCCCGGGGAAACATGCACAGTTCTCTTTCAGGGTCATAGCGCGAGACCTTGAAGGCCAGCCCTGGGGTGACCTCTTCAAATCCTGACCTTGGTTGCCCCGAATGAGTCCAAGCTTGCATCCCGAGGTCGTCTGGAGCCCGCTGGGCCCCACGTGGCCATCAAGGTCTAAGCGCGCCCGGCCCAGCCCCCTGGCCAGGTGGGAAAGAAACGCGCCCCGCCCCCTCCCCAAGGTCACCCCGGCCGGCCCACGCTCACCTCGCCAGGGGCCAGGGGCCAGGCCGCGGCATGGAGGGCGGCACCCACGGGGGTGGCGAAGTCGGCGGCGCGGGCTGCCGGCATTTCAGGAGCTCACCGAGCCTGGTCTCCACTTGCTGCTGCGTGGCACCTGCGAGCGCGTGAGAGGCAGCGTCAGTGCCGCTGGCTTCCGCCCCCGCCCCGCGTCCAGTCCGCGCTCGCGCCCACCCCGGCGCACCTGTGCGGCGCTGGGAGACCAGTTTGCTGGGCCCCTTTGTGATGGTGTACATCGTGCGCCGGCCCGCACCCAGGGCCGGCCGGCACCACTCACCAACCCTCCCTCCCGGCTGGCTAGCACTCTGCAGCCCCGGGGACGTGGTCCCTTTAAGTGCGGCGAAAGGGGCGGAGCAGGGGCGGGCGATTCGCACACGCCCCCTTCTCTTAAAGGGCAAGCGCTCTTGAGGAGCTGGAGCTCCAGAGAGGGGCTGTGCGGTGGGGTCCGGGCCGGGGTGCCCACGCCGATCCGGGTAGGATTGTTGGCGGGTAGTGCACGGCTAGACGGTGGAAAACACTGGTCTTGAGGCCTCCGGATCCGTTTAGTATCCAGGCGGGGTCCTTGAGCCCCGGGACCTCCTCTTTGACAAATGAAGGGTGCCTTAACAGGTCCTGAGGGGCTCTGTTCTGCGCCGAGGAGTCTCTATACTGAGGCTGTCTTTGCTGAGGGGTATTTGTGCTGGGAAGTCTCTGTACTGGGGAGGGAAGTCTCTGTGTTTGGGCGTGTCTTTATGCTATAAAGGGATTCTGTGTGTGTGGAGGTGCTCTGTGCATAGTTGGAAGCAAGAGTGTTTCCCCTTGAATTTTTTTTT